TTTTCACACACTGTTGCTGGTATTTTGGCCCATTCCTCCATGCAGATCTCCTCTAGAGCAGTGATGTTTTGGGGCTGTCGCTGGGCAACACAGACTTTCAACTCCCTCCAAAGATTTTCTATGGGGTTGAGATCTGGAGACTGGCTAGGCCACTCCAGGACCTTGAAATGCTTCTTACGAAGCCACTCCTTCGTTGCCCGGGCGGTGTGTTTGGGATCATTGTCATGCTGAAAGACCCAGCCACGTTTCATCTTCAATGCCCTTGCTGATGGAAGGAGGTTTTCACTCAAAATCACATGATACATGGCCCCATTCATTCTTTCCTTTACACGGATCAGTCGTCCTGGTCCCTTTGCAGAAAAACAGCCCCAAAGCATGATGTTTCCACCCCCATGCTTCACAGTAGGTATGGTGTTCTTTGGATGCAACTCAGCATTCTTTGTCCTCCAAACACGACAAGTTCTATTTTGGTTTCATCTGACCATATGACATATGACATTCTCCCAATCCTCTTCTGGATCATCCAAATGCATTCTAGCAAACTTCAGACGGGCCTGGACATGTACTGGCTTAAGCAGGGGGACACGTCTGGCACTGCAGGATTTGAGTCCCTGGCGGCGTAGTGTGTTACTGATGGTAGGCTTTGTTACTTTGGTCCCAGCTCTCTGCAGGTCATTCACTAGGTCCCCCCGTGTGGTTCTGGGATTTTTGCTCACCGTTCTTGTGATCATTTTGACCCCACGGGGTGAGATCTTGCGTGGAGCCCCAGATCGAGGGAGATTATCAGTGGTCTTGTATGTCTTCCATTTCCTAATAATTGCTCCCACAGTTGATTTCTTCAAACCAAGCTGCTTACCTATTGCAGATTCAGTCTTCCCAGCCTGGTGCAGGTCTACAATTTTGTTTCTGGTGTCCTTTGACAGCTCTTTGGTCTTGGCCATAGTGGAGTTTGGAGTGTGACTGTTTGAGGTTGTGGACAGGTGTATTTTATACTGATAACAAGTTCAAACAGGTGCCATTAATACAGGTAACGAGTGAAGGACAGAGGAGCCTCTTAAAGAAGAAGTTACAGGTCTGTGAGAGCCAGAAATCTTGCTTGTTTGTAGGTGACCAAATACTTATTTTCCACCATAATTTGCAAATAAATTCATTAAAAATCCTACAATGTTATTTTCTGGAGAAAAAAAATCTCATTTTGTCTGTCATAGTTGACGTGTACCTATGATGAAAATTACAGGCCTCTCTCATCTTTTTAAGTGGGAGAACTTGCACAATTGGTGGCTGACTAAATACTTTTTTTCCCCACTGTATATATATACAGTACCAGTCAAAAGTTTGGACACACATACTCCTTCCAGGGTTTTTCATTAATTCTTACTATTTTCTAATTTGTAGAATAATAGTGAAGACATCACAACTATGTAGTAACCAAAAAAGTGTTAAACAAATTTTATATTTGAGATTCTTCAAATAGCCACCCTTTGCCTTGATGACAGCTTTGCACACTCTTGGCATTCTCTCAACCAGCTTCACCTGGAATGCTTTTCCAACAGTCTTGAAGGAGTTCCCACATTTGCTGAGCACTTGTTGGTTGCTTTTCCTTCACTCTGCGGTCCGACTCATCCCAAATCATCTCAATTGGGTTGAGGTCGGGGGATTGTGGAGGCCAGGTTATCTGATGCAGCACTCCATCACTCTCCTTGGTAAAATAGCCCTTACACAGCCTGGAGGTGTGTTGGGTCATTGTCCTATTGAAAAACAAATGATAGTCCCACTAAGCCCTAACCAGATGGGATGGCGTATCGCTGCAGAATGCTGTGGTAGCCATGCTGGTTAAGTGTGCCTTGAATTCTAAATAAATCACTGACAGTGTCACCAGCAAAGCACCCCCACACCATAACACCTCCTCCTCCATGCTTTACGGTGGGAACCACACATGCGGAGATCATCCGTTCACCCACACCGCGTCTCACAAAGACACGGCGGGTTTGAACCAAAAATCTCCAATTTGGACTCCAGACCATAGGACATACAGTGGGGAAAAAAAGTATTTAGTCAGCCACCAATTGTGCAAGTTCTCCCACTTAAAAAGATGAGAGAGGCCTGTAATTTTCATCATAGGTACACGTCAACTATGACAGACAAAATGAGGAAAACAAATCCAGAAAATCACATTGTAGGATTTTTTATGAATTTATTTGCAAATTATGGTGGAAAATAAGTATTTGGTCAATAACAAAAGTTTCTCAATACTTTGTTATATACCCTTTGTTGGCAATGACACAGGTCAAACGTTTTCTGTAAGTCTTCACAAGGTTTTCACACACTGTTGCTGGTATTTTGGCCCATTCCTCCATGCAGATCTCCTCTAGAGCAGTGATGTTTTGGGGCTGTCGCTGGGCAACACGGACTTTCAACTCCCTCCAAAGATTTTCTATGGGGTTGAGATCTGGAGACTGGCTAGGCCACTCCAGGACCTTGAAATGCTTCTTACGAAGCCACTCCATTGCCCGGGCAGTGTGTTTGGGATCATTGTCATGCTGAAAGACCCAGCCACGTTTCATCTTCAATGCCCTTGCTGATGGAAGGAGGTTTTCACTCAAAATCTGACGATACATGGCCCCATTCATTCTTTCCTTTACACGGATCAGTCGTCCTGGTCCCTTTGCAGAAAAACAGCCCCAAAGCATGATGTTTCCACCCCCATGCTTCACAGTAGGTATGGTGTTCTTTGGATGCAACTCAGCATTCTTTGTCCTCCAAACACGACGAGTTGAGTTTTTACCAAAAAGTTCTATTTTGGTTTCATCTGACCGTATGACATTCTCCCAATCCTCTTCTGGATCATCCAAATGCACTCTAGCAAACTTCAGACGGGCCTGGACATGTACTGGCTTAAGCAGGGGAACACGTCTGGCACTGCAGGATTTTAGTCCCTGGCGGTGTAGTGTGTTACTGATGGTAGGCTTTGTTACTTTGGTCCCAGCTCTCTGCAGGTCATTCACTAGGTCCCCCTGTGTGGTTCTGGGATTTTTGCTCACCGTTCTTGTGATCATTTTGACCCCACGGGGTGAGATCTTGCGTGGAGCCCCAGATCGAGGGAGATTATCAGTGGTCTTGTATGTCTTCCATTTCCTAATAATTGCTCCCACAGTTGATTTCTTCAAACCAAGCTGCTTACCTATTGCAGATTCAGTCTTCCCAGCCTGGTGTAGGTCTACAATTTTGTTTCTGGTGTCCTTTGACAGCTCTTTGGTCTTGGCCATAGTGGAGTTTGGAGTGTGACTGTTTGAGGTTGTGGACAGGTGTCTTTTATACTGATAACAAGTTCAAACAGGTGCCATTAATACAGGTAACGAGTGAAGGACAGAGGAGCCTCTTAAAGAAGAAGTTACAGGTCTGTGAGAGCCAGAAATCTTGCTTGTTTGTAGGTGACCAAATACTTATTTTCCACCATAATTTGCAAATAAATTCATTAAAAATCCTACAATGTTATTTTCTGGAGAAAAAAAATCTCATTTTGTCTGTCATAGTTGACGTGTACCTATGATGAAAATTACAGGCCTCTCTCATCTTTTTAAGTGGGAGAACTTGCACAATTGGTGGCTGACTAAATACTTTTTTCCCCCACTGTATTTCCACCGGTCTAATGTCCATTGCTCGTGTTAAGTGGCCCAAGCAGGTCTCTTCTTCTTATTGGTGTCCTTTAGTAGTGGTTTCTTTGCAGCAATTAGACCATGAAGGCCTGATTCACACGGTCCCCTCTGAACAGTTAATGTTGAGATGTGTCTGTTACTTGAACTCCGTGAAGCATTTATTTGGGCTGCAATTTCTGAGGCCGGTAACTCTAATGAACTTATCCTCTGCAGCAGAGGTAACACTGGGTCTTCCATTCCTGTGACGGTCCTCATGAGAGCCAGTTTCATCATAGCGCTTGATGGTTTTTGTGACTGCACTTGAAGAAACTTTCAAAATTCTTGAAATTTTCCGGATTGACTGACCTTCATGTCTTAAAGTAATGATGGACTGTCGTTTCTCTTTGCTTATTTGAGCCGTTCTTGCCATAATATGGACTTGGTCTTTTACCAAATAGGGCTATCTTCTGTATACCCCCCCCCCCCTACCTTGTCACAATACAACTGATTGTAAGACGGAAATACATTCCACAAATTAACTTTTAACAAGGCACACCTGTTCATTGAAATGCATTCCAGGTAACTACCTCATGAAGCTGGTTGAGAGAATGCCAAGAGTGTGCAAAGCTGTCATCAAGGCAAAGGGTGGCTATTTGAAGAATCTCAAATATAAAATATATTTTGATTTGTTTAACACTTGTTTGGTTACTACATTATTCCATTTGTGTTATTTAATAGTTTTGATGTCTTCACTATTATTCTACAAAGTAGAAAATAGTAAAAATAAAGAAAAACCCTTGAATGAGTAGGTGTGTCCAAACTTTTGACTGGTAGTGTATATAAATAAGCAAACATTTCTAAAAACCTGTTTTCGCTTTGTCATTATGGGCTATTGTGTGTCGATTGATGATGATTATTTTTCTTTAATCCATTTTAGAATAAGGCTGTAACGTAATAAAATGTGGAAATAGTCAAGGGGTCTGAATACTTTGCAAATGCATTGTATTTAAAACCAAATACTTTTTAGACTTTAGACTTTCACTTTTACTTGAGTCTATTAAGGTATCTTTACTTTTACTCAAGTATGACAATTGGCTACTTTTTCCACCACTGAGAATATGTCATGGGCAATACTAGCAAAAGGGTTCTTATACTCAACATAAATAACTACCAACCTAAACTTGACCATCTTGACCATAGTTAATACTACTACCTCCAAAATACAAATATTTAAACAATGTTATTTATTAACTCTTGGACATACAGAATATAAAAAAGTATGTTTTATATATATTTAGACAATAACCCCCCAAAAATCCACAATGTGAACATTAGCCCATCTGATGGATGACCAAGGCTATATCGTTCCACAGCCAGTGTGAGAGAGAGAGTGTGTGGTGTGATTCACACAGTGGAATGGCTATAGGCTTAAACAGGTCTGGACCATGGAGTATGTGAGGCACATTGTAAAGAGTAGAGCCACTCCACTGTGTGGCTCTGAGGCAGAACGGCACACCATGGAGGGAGGCTTGACTTCAGACTTCACCTCTGGTGGTGACACTATCGTCCCTTGAATCTGGAGGGGAAAAGAAAGAGAGGGAAATATGAATAACTATGAAATACAGTGAGGAAGATGACTATCCAAAGCACATTCAAGCATATACATCACAATACATACAGTGAGGGAAAAATACTTATTTCCCTCATTAAAATGCAAATCAATTTATAACATTTTTGACATGCGTTTTTCTGGATTTTTTGTTGTTATTCTGTCTCTCACTGTTCAAATAAATCTACCATTAAAATTATAGACTGATCATTTCTTTGTCAGTGGGCAAACGTACAAAATCAGCAGGGGATCAAATACTGTTTTCCCTCACTGTATTATACAGTCAAATTAAACAAATAACTTAACAAAATTAATATAAATCAACATCCCAAAAGAGTGAAAGGGCACAATTTCATTGGTTCCCTGTGGATGACATATTGCCGTCAGTGACTAATTGATAGCACCAGATCAGCCCCAGCCCCAGCCGTCTGATCCTCAGCCCCAGCTCTGACAGAACACTCACCGACCACTCGTCCTGCCCCCACTTGGAGCAGCGCACGTTAATGGGCAGCTGTAGAACCATCTCATTGAAGGACTTCCCTCTTTTCTTTGACCACCTGTACTTGTCCATGGCCTCTGTGAAGGAGAGGTTGCTGTACTTCTTTGGGCTCTTGATCATGAAAGGCCAGGTCCTTTGACAGAAGAGGAATGTACAGTAAGTACATGAAAGTAGGTAGAATGTTTCCCGTACACCTGCTGATGCACAATATATCAGTCGATGTACAGTTGAAGTCGGAAGTTTACATACACTTAGGTTGGAGTCATTGAAACTCGTTTTTCAACCACCACACATTTTTTGTTAACAAACTATAGTTTTGCCAAGTCGGTTAGGACATCTACTTTGTGCACGACACAAGTCATTCTTCCATCAATTGTTTACAGACAGATTATTTCACTTATAATTCACTGTATCACAATTCCAGTGGGTCAGAAGTTTACATTCACTAAGTTGACTGTGCCTTTAAACAGCTTGGAAAATTCCAGAAATGACGTCATGGCTTTAGAAGCTTCTGATAGGCTAATTGACATAATTTGAGTCAGTTGGAGATGTACCTGTGGATGTATTTCAAGGCCTACCTTCAAACTCAATGCTCTTTGCTTGACATCATGGGAAAATCAAAAGAAATCAGCCAAAAAGTGTAGACCTCCACAAGTCTGGTTCATCCTTGGGAGCAATTTCCAAACGCCTGAAGGTACCATGTTCATCTGTACAAATAATAGTACGCAAGTATAAACACCATGGGACCACGCAGCCGTCATACCACTCAGGAAGGAGACGCGTTCTGTCTCCTAGAGATGAACGTACTTTGGTGCGAAAAGTATCTATATCCACAGTAAAACGAGTCCTATATCGACATAACCTGAAAGGCCGCTCAGCAAGGAAGAAGCCACTGCTCCAAAACCGCCATAAAAAAGCCAGACTACAGTTTGCAACTGCACATGGGAACAAAGATCGTACTTTTTGGAGAAATGTCCTCTGGTCTGATGAAACAAAAATAGAACTGTTTGGCCATAATGACCATCGTTATGTCTGGAGGAAAAAGGGGGTGGCTTGCAAGCCGAAGAACACCATCCCAACCGTGAAGCACGGGGGTGGCAGCATCATGCTGTGGGAGTGCTTTGCTGCAGGAGGGACTGGTGCACTTCACAAAATAGATGGCATCATGAGGAAGGAAAACTATGTGGATATATTGAAGCAACATCTCAAGACATCAGTCAGGAAGTTAAAGCTTGGTCGCAAATGGGTCTTCCAAATGGACAATGAACCCAAGCATACTTCCAAAGTTGTGGCAAAATGGTTTAAGGACAACAAAGGCATTGGAGTGGCCATCACAAAGCCCTGACCTCAATCCTATAGAACATGTGTGGGCAGAACTGAAAAAGCATGTGCGAGCAAGTCTGACTCGGTTACACCAGCTCTGTCAGGAGGAATGGGCCAAAATTCACCCAACTTATTGTGGGAAGCTTGTGGAAGGCTACCCGAAACGTTTGACCCAAGTTAAACAATTTAAAGGCAATGCTACCAAATACTAATTGAGTGTATGTAAACTTCTGACCCACTGGGAATGTGATGAAAGAAATAAAAGCTGAAATAAATCATTCTCTCTACTATTATTCTGACATTTCACATTCTTAAAATAAAGTGGTGATCCTAACTGACCTAAAACAGGGAATTTTTAACTAGGATTAAATGTCAGGAATTGTGAAAAACTGAGTTTAAATGTATTTGGCTAAGGTGTATGTAAACTTCCGACTTCAACTGTACATGTACATTATTCAAAACGTATGGTCAGAAGGATAAAGAGCAAAGCTGCTAACCAAATCATTCCCAAAGCATTTCAATGAGGTAGACGTTACGGGAAGTGGGACATTTAGTAGTTTCCTGCTAAGGCCTGTTTGTGTTTACAGAAGGTTAGCGTTCATCTTCACGTCAAGGTTTCTTGGAGAGCACATAGGCTTTCTCGGATGGAAAAAAGAGCTGTGTAACCTAATGTGTTTAGAGCAGCCAGTCTGACCTATTCAAAACCTCCTCATTCCTGTAGATGAGAACAAAAGGAGTTGCTTCCTTGTCCTCCCAAGTGGCGCAGTGGTCTAAGGAGGTGTCACCACAGACCCGGGTTCGATCCCAGGCTGTGTCGCAGCCGGTTGCGACCGGGAGACCCATGAGGTGGCGCACAATTGTCCGGGTTAGGGGAGGGTTTGGCCGGCGAGGATGTCCTTGTTCTATCGACTCCTTGTGGCGGTCCGGACGCATGCACGCTAACTTCGGTCGCCAGTTGTACTGTGTTTCCTCCGACACACTGGTGCAGCTGGCTTCTGGGTTAAGCGAGCAGTGTGTCAAGAAGCAGTGCGGCTTGGCAGGGTCGTGTTTCGGAGGACGCATGGCTCTCGACCTTTGCCTCTCCTGAGTCCGTACGGGAGTTGCAGCGATGGGACAAGACTGTAACTACCAATTGGATATCATAAAAAGGGGTAAAAATAACAAAAACTATTATAAAAAGGAGGTGCGCCCCGATGTAGTAGCAGGAGGAGTAAACGCACTCCAGCAGCCCAACCCATCAAATAGGCTCTCATTTCCAGGCCTCTTATTATTCTCAGGGCCAAGGTCTCCCTTACACAACCTACCAATCAGGGGCATAGGAACAGGAGACAACATGGACACATTACAATACGTAGTATCAGGTTAAGGAACATGTTGAACTGTGTTTACTGTATTTACTGACATACTGTTAACTGACTTCTATGTAATGTAATCATTATATGAAGTAGAATGACGTTATGTTTCAGGATTTCATTTTATGCGCATAAAGCAAACAAATTCAAAGTTAATGGCAAAACGATTATTTTCACAGCAACTATTGTGCATTGTTTAATTTAATTGGATGAAAACTATGTTATTTTGAACAAAATGAATGGAATGCAAGAGCAAAAACATAGTGTGGAAAACTATTGTTTTGTATATCTTGCTGTCAAATTCCAGCATGCTAACTGTTAAAGCAAAACACAACAGCCTAAAACAGGACAATGAGTATCACTGTTCTCAGCTGCAGCTCAGTTCCACATGTTGACCCCACTGGGCTAGTGTGACTACGAGCTCTTCAGGATTATATCCCATATTCCTTCCTTCTAATGACCTGCAATCTCTTTTTCAGGCCTGCAATCTCTATCTCAGGCCTGAGCAAATGTATGTATGTCCTCTCTGTATAACATGCAGTAACTAATTGAAAACATCACTTCTCCCTGAGAACACATGCTGTATGACCTTTGACCTTTGTAAGGTGCTCCAGGCAGAGAAACGATTCACCTCAAAAGTATCTTCCCCAATTGTTGTTGCAGATTCCAACTTCAACCGCTACATGGGTTTTGCAGTTTCAGTATACAGCCCTATACTTACGTGACAGGGACCTGGATCTCTTTGACTCCAATGAACTTGAGCTGCCCGGTGATCTCAGGGAGGCTCTCACACCTAGCCAGGTTCACTCTGGGATAGTAGAGCAGGTAGGACAGACACATCTCATCCCTGGTGGTCAAACCACCCTGGGGAAACAACCAGAGGAAGATAGTCAAGAAATCAAGCCTGGGAGGCAATCAGTTTGCTCAATATTAAACGCCAATACAACAGCTAAATTAAAGGTAACATTTACTATGCTTTACTACTACCACGTTACACTTCTATTTTATATTATTTAGCTCCACAGAAACATTTGTCAACAAATACATTTATATCTTTGTAACAATCATCAGCTTTAACAGCCACTAAGAAATCATGAAAATCTGTTTCTGAAAAAATGAGAATGAGACTATGTAGATAGTTTACCCATTTGTGCCACAAATGCTAAAATATCCAATGTCCAAAGCATGGTTTAGTGTCATAGCATGTGCATAGACTGCTTACTGGGTAAGGAAACCAATATGACATTTTGTAACTTGGGTGAATTATCCCTTTAAGTACCACTTCAGGGTGTATTATTTCTAACACGGAGCAGACACAAAAGCATTGCTTTGTGGCGCCATGTGCTGGACAAAGTCGTAATGGCAAGCAATGTGTATTTCGGGGAAAATAATTGGCACGAATTCACAGAATTCACAAAATCATAACAATGGATAAAAATTCTGTCTGATATTGTTCCAGAATAACGAGTTCAATTTTTTTCTCCTGAACAGTAGAGAGTAACTGTAGAAGAAAACGAGCCCCGATTTACGACTGTAGTCATCAGTAATTTGTTCGTTTGATGTGTCTGTAAGAAACAGTGCCAGTAGCTGCAAACAGCGATATAACCAAGATCCTCCATCTGTGGTCCTGGGGCTGTATTTGCAGACAGATTGTTCAGCCAAGAACAGACAGCCTTTAACACATACGTCTGAAAGTATCAACCAAGAGGTTCATGCAAGGGAAACACAACTCATTCCTATAACCGGTAAATACATAAAACTAAATTCCATTCCATTCCATGCCATTCAAGTAGCCTACACTCTTTCTATTGATAAATTATCCGCCTTAATTTTGAGAAATATGAATGATAGTGTTCTTCAATATAATTATTCTTCAAGATAAGAATGTTTCAAAACAATGTGCTTTGTGTCTGTTTTATGGCAACGTTGAAGTCAAAGCAATAATCCCATAGCTCTATCCTTAAAGGGTTGTGTAATAAAGTCAGCGTGAATATGATCACTATTGTCCCATCCTGCAATCAACCAAATCATCAACTCATAGAGACACGCAGACAGATGAGAAACATGAGCTCAAATAGACTCAAATAGGCTCAGCCTGAGGAAAAATAGGACACATGGAAAAATGTTGTGATCTCTGTAAACTCATAAAAACAGATCATTAGGAAGAAGCCACATCTTAAGGATGTGCTGCATTCACCATTTCAGGGCTGACAGGTCAGTTTCAAAAAAGCAAAAAAAGAGACAGCAGGGAAAATAAGTATTCATTTATCCATGTGGATTGTGAGTAGTGCATTCTTACCCAGGTCATGTTTTGTCTGCCTTTTGTGGTGTACTTGCATTCTGTGATCAAATTGTCACCCTGAAAGGAAAGCAGATTGAAATCAAGGCTCTTCTTTGGTTGTGAATTTAGAACCCCACATCAAACAGAATGGCGTTGTTCATAAAGTACAACATCAATATAACACTAAAGCAATAGTACATGAGGTGCGATTTACTGTGGTTTTAGCACGGCTGTAGGCAACAGCCGTTTGTATGAAATCTTTTTCACATAATAAGTGAGCAAGAAAAAACAAAATGAACCTCCACTTATGTCCTGTATCTATGTAGGTGGATCAAAGTAATGCGATAATCAATATTTACTGTTCATCAGAGGGTGAGGTAAACATGCTTAGACCTGCAGGGGAAGCTCAAGCAGTAGATTTATTCCCTTTCTCACTACTTAACATGTCAGGTAAACAGTATAGCAGTGTACCAACAGGTAACAGCAGCCTCTCTTCCTTCAGCAGCTGGAACTCCTGGAAGTTGAAGTCAAACTCCTCGTCATGTGACAGGGGCTGCAGCTCCTCCTGCTCCCGGAAGTGTCTGGTTCTGATGGCGCGGCCAGCTAGGTGGGCATGCATCAGAACAGCAAACACCCTCACTCCGCTGGGCATCTCCTTGCCTAGGGACTGAAGGGGGAGCAAAGAGTCAGTGCTTTTTTAGTTAAATTGCACTTTTGGATGATCACTGTTTTGGGAACGTAGCAAGACTAAAACAGAGGCTTGTCACTGTAGGTGATATAGCATAACAGTAATTTAACAGTGGATGTTTGACTCCTGTTGTTCCCTAGTGAAATGGGAATGTCTGGCATCGCACCAGATTGAAAAACACCACCAGAGCTGGCTGTCTTACCTCCTGCAGACACTCGCGGGTACAGTGTCCTTCTGAGACGTACTCCTGCATGCCTGGAGGTAGCATGTGGTACAGACTGACCCACACACCTGTCTCTATCACTCCTGCATCATACTGACGCAGCTCTGGGGTGTAGAACAGACGCAGGCCAGAGCTGTCCACCACTCCTGACAAGGAAACAGTAACATTATGATTAACAGAGTAACTGACTGTTGCACTGTAAAGTGCTGTAGATATCACTTTGGCACACAAAATGTGTATGCTGTGAATGGGTGAAAGGGACAAATACAATGGCCAAGGCAGACAAGCCACATTCATTGTTTATGTAACATGATGTAACATGATGCGTCCTTGTTGGTGTATTATACCTTGTTGAAGGGCTGGGTTGTCATAGTGGACTTCCATCAGGACATAGACAGGGTCTATTGCTGTGCCAATGGACAGACCAACGTGGGGTGGATAGGTGAACCCCTGTAAGGGTAGATTGAGAGGCATACTGAACATGTTGATAAGGAAGCTTACATAATCACTCTGATACATGCAAATACATGTAGCTTATGAAATGTATTACAACACTGAATTTAAAACCACTACAAATAGAAAACAATTGCCCACCTCACCACCAATGGCCCAGGCGAAGACTATCGTCTCACAGGTGAGAAATGAGTCAGGCATATTTGGATGGTAACATTCATGGCTGGCATCGAGCTCACTCTCATTCAAGTTGCTATCACATTGATACAACAAAATGTGATGAACCAGGTTTTCGTGGCCCCTTTGAATCAAAGGCTCAATCTGTAAACAGAAAGAGGGGAAGTTGTACATTTTAATGTATTCTAACCACAGTTGGCTTCTTTTGAATTGCCTACACTTGCCTTAAAAGACCTCAATTCTATTGCTCTTAACCGTAGGATACACATGAGATGGGATAAACAGGATTGGGTTGGCCCTGCTCACCTTAGGATGAAAGTAGTGAAAAATAATATTTGTTCCTCAATGGGGGCCTCTAGTTTGGACTGCGATTCGGAGCAAAGCAGCTTGCTGCCTGCTGGGCAAACTGTGACATCATACTGTGAGGCCTCCTTTCAAATCAGCAGGACATTAGACCAAAGCTTGGCCTATGACCACCATATAAATATTTAGACATTCTTCCTTTTACTTTTTCTCAAATGTTATTATTTAGGGTGGAAGCAGCCGTCGTAGTCTAAGTCAGAGGTTGAGATTTTGCCATGAAAGAGGGGGGAAAGCGTATCTCTTGTTAGACGATTTGTTACACTGTGTAACAAATGTTGCCTTTATAAAACACTTTATAGGCCGCTTTCTCTGAATAGAGGACGTTATTGAATAGAATACATCTATCAAACTAGAATACGCATGTCAAGTAGACAGTTTTCAGGAAGTCTTGAAAGTCAGAGTCAGCTAAACAGGAGGTGAGGTTGCGGTGCCCAAGATAATAGAGGGTGGAGTGGTAAAAGACCAAATCCCCCAGAGGGACGAAGCAGGTGGAGCAGAGGGTAGAGAGAGAAACCGTGACTGAGAATATATCATGGGAATGGGGGCTTTTTTAAGTGTCAGGATAGGCGTGCACAGGGAAAATGAGACTGGCTCTTTTAAACTTCTGTTTAAATGCTTTAAAACCCAAAAAAGAACAACAGTAATGTCTCTTTATAGACCACAGATGAATTGGATGAGACAGTCCTATTCATAACACACATAAAAACAGATGTCTTACATACTGCATCTCACTCGCTGACTCACACATCATGCACACGCACATGAAAACATCTGGGATGGAAAAATATGTTTAATGACAACAGCCTGACTCCCACGTGGCATTTGGATAACCAAATGATTTCAGTTTCACTCTAATTGTGTACTAGCAACACTTTTAGTATCTTACATTATTTCGTCATGCAAAGATCTCTCTAAAATAAGAGTTCACGACAATATATGGGCTATCTTACAACAACAGCGTGTGTTATGTATAGTGGAATCAGAGACCCTCTGAGCCACACAGCTGTTAATAAGGCTAGGATTTTCCACACTTTTTTTTCCACTGGAGCATATTTTTCAGCTAGAATGGTGCTGGTGTTTCTCAGTCTATGCTCTAATTGTCATCATCGGAGTGGCAGAGTGGAGAACAGAAGAGAAGAGCCAGCTCCATGTACAGTACAGTAAGCTGTGTGCTGGAGGGGGAGTAAGAGAACAGGGAGGTAGCTCTATTTATATCTTTCTGGCTCTGGTTCACTTAATGACTGAAGACTCTTTGTTTTGAACTCTTGCTCCGTCCAAGCATTCTAAAGTCAAAGAGGCCATAGCCATGGAAACATCAAAAGAAGCAATGACATGCTTACCTTGAATACTGTGTTCAAAGAGATAACTTAATGGAAGCATTTGAGAAATATATTTTGCACATTCTACTGCTCTCAATATTTGCCTTTTTTTGTTGTTGTGTGTAACAGTGTTTGACTTGACAGAATAGCCCTACTGTAAGTGATGTGACAAATGATAACGTGATACAGTACCACTATTCCATATTACATTATATAGCTAAGGCAGTGTAGTTAAACATAAGAGCACATTTGGTTTTTAGTTTTAAGAGCACATTTGGTATTTATGACAGATCAATGTGTCATCGTACCATACCTTTGATTCTAAATTGTACGCGCTACCTCCTTTAATCAAGTGTGCTTTGAAGCCTTTTGGTTTCATAATTGTTCAATTATGTCTGGGGTATATAATTAAAACAATGGCTCTTTTAATACACATTAGCAATTTCAAGTTGAAAACAAGCTGCAGGTTCACCTCAGAAGTGAGAGAAAGCTCCCCACAGGGGAGAACATACTTCAGACGACAGCAATGAAAGACGGAGGCAGGCAGACTAATAAAAACTCCAATTATCCAGGTGAGATGCCTTTAGAGAAAGGTAAACACGATGGCTGCGCGATGACTGAACTATAGGCGAGTACTTCCTCAAGTGAAAGCCTGTTGTCGATTTGCTATTGTTTTTCTGCTGTGTTGTTAATATAGCTCAATGATTTCCAAGTGTGTACTTACTCTAATGATATGATGCTTCTTCTGTACCTCCTGGATCTTAAATATCTGACACCAGTAGGTAGTGTCCTTGTATGGCACTGGCACCTATCTTGAGAGAAACAAACAGACAGCGAGACTGATATTTACTCGTCATAAAATGTGACTAAATCTCACACAGTGCAAATATGGTCTCAGAGTTGGAAAAGTCCCTCTGAAGTAATAAAAGCTAGAAGTGGTATCAGGTTTGTTTAAGAGATGGTGATTTCTTCTCCAGCTGTCACACTTACGTTTATGTTTTGCAAGTTGAAAAAGTCGGCCCCAGAGGGAATATTAGCTTTCATTCCTGGGTCGAGTAGCCGCATACTCTTCCTCCCCCTGTTCACTCCATGATACATCGGTCCTGACGGTCCCACATCTTCAATGTGGTAGGCCCATATCACTCTCACTGTGCTTTCCTGGGCAGCACATATTACACATCTATTATCTATAAATTAATTTCAATTTTAACATTCTGTAAGAAGTACTATGACACCTCGGGCATGAACTGACATTTAAACTAAAACGCCCACCCACCTTACCCCATACACAAGCACACATTTAAACACACAAACAACACCCACATTTCCCATAGATAAAACACTTCCACCACCCACGTACCGTGATGTCCTTGTCATTTGTGTCACAGGTCAGGAGGTCCCTGCTGAAAGCCAGTACAGTATGTGTATTGTTCTCCCTGCCATATTCCAGCCTGTAGTTCTGCTGAACATCTCTTTGCACTTTTCTCTTGGCGTCTGCAAAGTAATCCTGTAGAAAGCATGCCGGATAAAACAGAACTGTTTTGGCTGCAATAATACTGTAATGAACAAAAAATTAAGGAGGGGATAAGAAAGCTCTTCAATTTAAATATACATACATAGATGTAAATCACTAAACTTGGGGAAAACCAGTGTTCTTATGACACAATTGAAAGAGCACTGTAAACAACAAATGTGCTTTACTTTGCTTAATACTGTACTATTACTGTAGCTAGGATAACGACTGTTACCATAGTTACTATACTTAATTTGTCTTGAGCCCCGTTTATACCTGGTACTAACATCTTGGTAGTAGCGTCTTTTGTCCTGATCTTGTCCACATTCTGATTGTCCCCACATTTTTAGACAGGTGTAGTCGATTAAAAGACGCATTGTGATCTGATTGTGATCAGATCTTCCTGTCCAAATCCGGAGGTAGTCAGGCATGCATTAGTCAGGCATTGAACACCTCCGGTGGTAGTCAGGAATTGTGTCTGGATATCTTACAAGTGTAGACGGATCTGGACAGTGAAACATCTAAAATCATTGACAGGTGGCACCATTGACTATGTGTCTTAAAATAAATAAATAAATAAATATTATTTCGAAAGAATAGCTGTGAAATAATTTGCATACAGGGATGGACCAGGAACTCTGGTCACAATGCGGACACAGTGGACAGATATGAGACACATTGTAATACCATGTGTAGACATATATCTGGAAATGTGGGCACAATCAGAAATTTGACAAGATCTCAGGACACAGGACCCATGTTAGCACCAGGTATAAACGGGGCTGTTGTTGGAAAGTGTCTGGCAGTCACTGCCAAGCCTAGCATGTAAATATGTATGTCAATTTTCCACTACGGTGGGCAAACAACAACAACATTGGCACAAAACTACAGCTGCCGTCTCCTTCTGGTAACACAATGAGAGGGGTTCTTTTAGATTGTGTGGCATCATTGCCAGAAATGTGATCCTTGATCCCTGAGGCAGAGCAAGCTTCCTGTGATGTGTAGCAATATCCAGACCCCTTACCCTGTTGGAGTTAAGCCATGAGTGGCTGGCTGTGCATCACAACAGTTTACCATACCTAGTTACACCTAACCAATAACAGATGTCACTAGAAGTTCAATTTGGAGACCCTCAATGACTATTTTATCTATTTTAATCAGGATTTAGATAGGACTATTTCAACACCCACAGTATACCCAAATAGCCATGGGGAAATAGTTAAACATAAATGTAATATAAATCATTATTTTCCTATAGCAGCACAACTGAAGTATGTATGCAATGTTACAATTTCAGTGAAAGTAGCCCACCTCGTGATAAAAAGCAAGGTATAGGCCTAGCTGCGTCACTTTCATTCTGTAAAACCCAGGTGCATACCTGTAGATAGGGTCTTCCATCTGTGACTCCACCAATGACAATATCCGACAACGCCATTGCACCATTGGGAGATAGACCAAATCCTATATATCCTCTCGTTTCCACTTCTATTTCAAAAGTAATTGTTCTCCGGTCAAACCTCCACTTTAGATGGTATTTCCCATGAGGGTCCAAGATAGTTGAATGTCTAAATCCGGTCCCGTGGGAAAAAGTTCCGTAAAACCAAAACGTTGTGAAGAAAACTAGGGCACTACGATATTTCGCGGGTAACATTGTGAACATTGACGAAAAAAAACAACTACAAACAAAATAAAATGTCTCCTTGAATGTCGTTTAGATAAATTGACGTTTCTTTATGTGTTTGGTTTGCCAGTTGTGCGCGGCGACCTAGCACGCTTACCCATCTGCGAGGAAGCAGCGCTTCTCTCATCCTCTCACTACAACTGTCGAAACTTGTGCTGGACCCTTTGATCTTTAGAGACACGTCCCACACGGCTACTTCTGTGGTCAGGCCTTACCTGAGGTGTTTGTTGTACATACAGGTGGCTATGGCTTTCGGCAGTACAGCATAGGACCGTGATAGAGGCTATACATACATTTAACTGCCTGTATTTACAGGACAGAGCGTGCAGAATGGGTGCGTGACAAGCACATCAATTCAGAATAATAATAATATGCCATTTAGCAGACGCTTTTATCCAAAGCGACTTACAGTCATGTGTGGATACATTTTTACGTATGGCTGCAACAGGGTGCCTGGTCACAATGTATGGTTATAAACTGGGTGGTTCGAGCCCTGAATACTGATTGGCTGAAAGCCGTGGTATATCAGACCGTATACCATGCGTATGACAAAACATTATTTTTTACTTCTCTAATTACGTTGGTAACCAGTTTATTAAAGCAATAAGGCACCTCAGAGGTTTGCGATATATGGCCAATATACCACAGCTAAGGGCGGTGTCCTAGCACTCTGCGTTGCATCCTGCATAAGAACAGCCCTTAGCCATGGTATATTGGCCATATACCACACCTCCTCTGCCTTTATTACTTAATTAGACACTGGATGGATAATCTCTGAACATGTAAGGACATAAGACTATTAGCCTAAATACCAACCTGAGATTTTTAAAAAATCAAAAAAACTCAAAGCAAAAACTCTGGCTAAATTAGAATAGGTCTACAGAGGAAGGAAAACAAGAGTATTACATTAATACAAAATAATACAAGATACAGAAGGCCTGTTTTCTCGTATCTCACCATGTCATATATTTTGTGGTAGAAGTCTCTTAAATTGAACTTCTCCTAAATGTATCAGTGCCATCCAGTCTGTAGGCCTGGTGTTTGGTGAACTAGAAAAGCAGCCATCAGTCAACAGACTGACTGCAGTGAGACAAGCAGAAGCTGCCAAAACTTCCAGGAACTGTCCCTCCTTCAGAAACACACCTACATGCAAGATGAGGAGAGGAAATGAAATCACCCACTGCATAAAATGGAAAATGTGTTGGAATTCCTATATGCAAATTTAAAAAAATAAGTAGCCAAGTAAAAATCGTTCAACAAGAATAATGCAATTAAGCATATGAGATTGAGTACACAAATCAGGTTTTTTATTCTCATTTATATAGCTCGTTAATCAGGTTTAATAGTATATTGTACAGTAAAGCTTCCTTCTTCAGAAATAAATATTCAAATATACAAATGGACATAACCAAGAATCAAAAAGTTCAAAAACATAATTTCAACTTTTGATTGTTACCTTTACCATTAAAACGTTAAGGCAGATAAAACATTTTGTAGCCTAAAGTACGACCAAAACACACTGAATTAATATAGTATGCGAAGGTCAGAAGGGGGAAAAGGGAAGCCAGGAATTAAAGCTAGAATCCTTAATTGAAACAATAACAAAGCGGACACCCTGCCTCAGTTTTGGTAAAAAAGCTGAGGGATGAGCCAGGAGAAATGTAACCACTCTCAAATAGACAGAGGTATGGATGCAAGGACTGACCATCCATGATATAGTTTTAACCATGTTTACATTTACATTCTTTCAACAACAACTAAAAAGTAAAATAAGCTTACATTTTGGGTTCTGATGGGGTATGACAGTTGAACTAATCTCATTAGGCATTTATAAGTTATATTCTTCAAGAATCAAAGGGTATATGTCATAAATTTATAAGTCCAAAAAAATGGATGTAGCAACTACGTATTCTAGCTTTAAGAGTTCATTGCATCTAGTGGTGCACTGCTTTTTATTGAAGAAAGTGAAAACGGAAAGAGCTGTATAAAAAAAAGATACAATTTTTGAGGCAGCAAAAACATTCAAAGGTCCAAAAAACGTATATAATCCATACATATTTAATCATTCAGTGAGAGTCTTTGTGAGATTAAACACAAATTCATAAAGTGAAGAATGAGGCAGCATTCCTTTGAGGAACCTTACAGCGAAAGTGATGCAAGATATTGTTTAGTATTGCACAAACCTTGACCTCTAGTGCATAGACAAGGCTACGGTCCATAATAATCAGCAGGTATCACACAAGCCTATTCCGGGTCTATTCTTCTTACTATAGTGTTAGTTCACAATCAATGAAAACATGATTTCAATATCTCAGGATACAGTCAGGAATGACAACGGCAATAGCCTGGACACAAAAGCATGGGTCCAAGGAACAGTTACACACCCCCCCCCCTTCTTTAACCGGTCTCCTCCCCTTCATCTACACTGACTGAAGTGGATTTAACAAGTGACATCAATAAGGGATCATAGCTTTCAACTGGATTCACCTGGTCAGTCTATGTCATGGAAAGAGCAGGTGTTCTTAATGTTTTATTTACTCAGTGTGTGTCTGCAGATAGCATACAGTATTTAGATGCCAAAATAACATACTCTTTATATCATATACAATTTAAGGCGTTTATACATTACTAATTCATTACTGATTGATTATTTTAGCAAATAGCAGCCAACAATGGCACATTGACACAAAGTTCCCTTAAAAAGTAATCTATTTTAATTTCAATATAATCTACATATACTGAACAAAAATATAAATGCAATATCTTCAACGATTTTACTGAGTTACAGTTCATATAAGGAAATCAGTCAATTTAAATAAATTAATAAGGCCCTAATCTATGGAGTTCACATGACTGGGCAGGGGCGCAGCCATGGGTGGGCCTGGGAGGGCATAGACCCACCCACTTGGGAGTCTGGCCCACCCATTGGGGAGCCAGGCCCAGCCAATCAGAATGAGTTTTTCCCCACCTTATTACAGACAGAAATACTTCTCAGTTTCATCACCTGTCCAGGTGGCTGGTCTCAGATGATCCCGCAGCTGAAGAAGCTGGATGTGGAGGTCCTGGGCTGGTGTGGTTACACATGGTCTGCGGTTGTGAGGCCGGTTGGACGTACTGCCAAATTCTCTAAAACAACGTTGGAGGCGGCTTATGGTAGAGAAATTAACATTAAATTCTCTGGCAACAGCTCTGGTGGACATTCCTGCAGTCAGCATGCCAATTGCACGCTCCCTGTCAGGTGGATGGATTATCTTGGCAAAGGAAACATTTTCACTAACAGGGATGTAAACAAATTTGTGTACACAATTTGAGAGAAATAAGCTTTTTGTGCCTAATGAAAAATTCGGGGATATTTTATTTCTGTAAAGTGGGACCGACACTTTACATTTTGCGTTTATATTTTTGTTCAGTATAGTAAAGTGACAGTATGTACGAAACATCTGTCGTCTTTGTCTTCATTTTACAAGCAATGGCCTTGAGACTTAGACTTACTCAAACTTAGTCCTAACGAATCATTAAAATGCCAGGACCAAAGAGTGTGTGAAAAGCATCATCATCCTTTGACTGATGCCCAGATGATTAAACCAATGACAAAAGCAAGTACAACCAGAACAACAATGAGAATGCAGATCTTCTTTCTAGATTTGCGCTGAAAGGGTCAGAAGAAACACTTCATGTAATATGCAAATTGATTTGATTCAGCATTGTAATAATTTATTTAACTAATTTCATTGAATAATTATGTATTTATTCAAGAATGATTTTCATGTTACCTACCTGATAGTCTGCAGCCTGTGTTAACTGCTGGGTGGCATTCTGAACATGAAGGTCGGCAGTTTCGACATTGGCCTCTATACTGTCTAGGGGTATAAGAAAATACAGTGAAAGGGTCATCCTCTCACAGAAGTTCACAGTTTAGGTTTAATGTTTTCTTAACTTTGCAGACAAGTTGGATGTTTACTTCAGAACACTGTTACTTTTGACTTGTTGTACACCATGACGATGATTCAACTCTCAGAGGATGTCAGTTTTAACACCTTGAATTGATCCTCTGAGTGTTGTGGGACATATTTCAGTGTGTGTGTGTGTGTGTGTGTGTGTGTAGCGTAGCGTAGCTGTTTGTCATCCTCTGTTCCCAGAACACTCGTTAGACTCTTCTCCAATAAGACTCCTAAACATGCAGTATGTTGTCAATGTTTTGAAAGTGGAAGAGTTTCTGATGTATTCAGAAGTCTAGAGGTGTAAATGACTGCATGGATGCTTACCGATCATATCACCCTGCTCATGGACCATCATTCCCAAGTCCTTAAATATTTCATTTATATCTGTAATATCAGACTGAAAAAAAGTAAAACCAAGCATTGAATACACAGACAACATAACAAATTAAATAGACTGGTATATAAATCCATTATGTAAGTGTGATTTGCAGGATAGCATAAGGTGTGCTTACTGTATGGCTTCCTGTATACATTAATTGAAAGGCAACCAATGTAATTTGGAGGAACGATAGACCCCCTACAAAATCTTTAATTCAACCCTGAATCTTGCACATTGTTTATGAGTAACAATAGGTGAGTGCTGTCACCTCTAGCTGTCTGATGGAAGTCTCTCTCTCCTGGATGAGCTGCAGGTCCTCCTCGGTGATGGCCACCTCCTGGGATTGTGACTGGACCTGGACCTGCCCCCCACTGCAGAGTCAGACATGGGAAACACGTGGTCAACCACCCAAAGCAAACACTCACCTCCCACTGTCAGGCTGGGCCAGAGAGATGGGCCTGTATAGACTGACATGATAACACTAAAGTAGATGGTTAGATAAACAAGCAGACTAGTAGTAGTCAGAGAATAGTAAACTGTGGGTTTTTCTTATTGAACATTCATTTGATGGTTAAAACCCCTGTAGGTCTAAGCCCTTAGATCACAATATCTACTAAGCTAACATATGGAATTGTTTTAAGATGGTCATAAAATGTATAATTTAGCCATTTGATTTGGAATTTTAGGACCCCTGTAGGTATATATATATATATATATATATAATTATTTGATGAAACATTTAATTTGGCCTCAACGCATTGAATAACACATTCATAAATGGCTAAACAGACAGATAAAAAATAAACCATAAAGGAACAAGGTTTTGAAGTGTCAGAGAGAGATAACAAAACTTATTTTACCCCATATTCACTTTTTGCAATTTGTACAGCCCGGTCATGGGTTACCTTCAGACTCCCCCCTTAGAGCAGATCAACAGAACCTTTGTGTTCATGAGAGTCTCCCCTTTCGTTTATTGGTGACATATTAGTTTGTAGCTCCAACGGTTCCGTCTGGACAGTCGGTTTTGTGAGAAGACCTCTTCGAAGTCAGGATGTCCGCGACAAAAGGTTCAGACAACTGCCGTAAAGCGTGTGGATGTCGTAGAGCAAAACAACCAACACTGTCGTGATCGTGAGAGTCTACCTTTTCGATAGTGGTGTAGAAAGAGGTCAGAGTTCCCGAGTTGGATGAACATTCAAAAATATTTTTCCCAGTTGGAGCTAGTTTTTTTTCTGAGTTCCCAGTTGTCTTGAATGCACTGAAGTCGGAAGTCAGAGATTTCCGAGTTCCCAGTTGTTTTGAATGCGGCATTAGTTTGTAGCTCACATGGTTCGGGTTTTACAGCCGATTTCATTATGATTTTCTTGTCTGGATCCGCTCATGTGTAGAAAAAGGCCGCTTTCACAAGCCCCATGTCATGGAATAGGCGAAAACGTTATAATGGCAGAAAGAGGGGATTGAGCTGCAGGCTCTACAAGAAACGGTAAGTCTCTAGCATAAGCATACAGGGAGCTATTCAAGATTAAAACTGACGTCACCGTTTGAAGCTGTGGCGCTTCAATCGACTTTAGGGGGTACAGAGGAGCAATTCATAGTAGAACAAGAGGTTGACCCTATATAGTCACAAAATAGGACATTAAAAATAGAGCTAAACCCTAATAGACCAAATAAATATTATCTCGACTGTTGTGGTTTTGAGAAAAGAGGATGTTTACATCCTCCACAACTGTAGGCAACAATAATTGAATCAGGATTATGTGTGTCTACAGCGGTTCTTTCCTCTGTTGTCGGCATGCAGTTTTATGTGGGGACAAACATTGGGTTGTATTTAGACAGCTTGCACAGTATGTTTAGTGCAGCATGTCTGTGCACTACGTGACTCAAAAGACCTAGATGACTGAAATGCTGAACTCTGACCTTTCAAAGGGGTTTCCATTTCCTCCAAAGCTGTCGTCAGGAAAGCCACCCTGAAGGGGGGACAGAACAGTCAGCCTGATGCGCTCTCATTTCAGGTGCAATTTGATTTGTTTGTGTAAAGCATTGACTACTAACCGACACTCTGGACTCGGCACGGACTCTAGCAACAAACTCCTTCTCTTTCTGAGCAGCCTGTCTCTGTGTCTTTTGGAAATTGGCCAGTGCATTGGAGAAGTCGTTGATAAGACGATCTTTCTGGATCTTTCTCTGGCGCTAGAAGAGAGGTAAACAAATGAGTAAACATCACATACTGTACAGTATACATGATACTGTGTCATAGCACTCTAATTTAAACCGATTGAGAATTATTCTTAGGACTTCCGTCTCAGACCCTTATGCCCTACTTTACATAAACAGAAGTGAAATACTAACATCTTATTAAACACATTTATATTCATTTTTTTAGCAAGAAATACAACTAGAATGTGTTTGCAATTAAACATAGACTTTTCTTTCCATTGTCGAAATTAATCATCCAAGACAGTATTGAAAAACATTGTGGATGTTTGTAAGAATTGAATTATTCCTGCGTTCCAGCCATATGAACTTTACAAGAATGCAATAATTTCTTTCTTTACCACACACAAGCACAAATTCCTACAACATTGTGGGATATGTGCTGTCAGGAAAACTGCTCATGATGTGTGCCTTGGGCCTTCCTTGAACAAGAAGCCACAACTACAAAAACAGGAAATAAAGGCCTAATGTGCTTAAGAATAGCACACCAGCTGAATATATAAATAAAACAGGGTACCTTAAACTTTCCTGTTATAGATCATTACACAATGTAATGAAAAAGTGTTAATTATTTTAAGAATTACATTGAGAATAAATTCTTATCCAATTTATAATCTAAAATGTGTCATAGAAGTAAAACATTGATTATGCAGGGTAAATTTGAAGACAGGTGGCTAAGATAAAAGATGCAAAAACAGCATGTACATTTATTTTATATTGCAGGGTTTAAATGCTTGCCTGTAGATGGCGACATGTGCTGTTTAATGACATGCATTCATAACAGGTGAACGGAGGGCACTATTGCAATTTTTTTGTGTTGATTAACAGGAACAGGTCATCCAGGGACCAGCTTGGACAGCACAGGCCCGCCCACCTAACATGTGACCAATGAGCACTGAGGTGCTGTTCACCTGGCTGTTTTCACATTACTGTATGAATAACATTATGTCTGCTATTGGGCATTACACTACAAGTTCCATGCAGTGCACACAATTATTATACATTTTGTTGCTCGTTGTAAATTAAGTTGAAGCTACCATACAAAAAAGTTGATTACCTGTTCAGTTGTGACAGGCAATGCGCCAAATTCCTTCATACATCGGTCTGTTTCTTTGGCAAGGTGGTTGACATTTTGCTGTTTCTGCTGCCTACATTTGAAAAGTCAAAAGCCTCATTTAGATAACATTCCATAGAAATACACATACCAGCATGTAATAAAATGTAAAAGCTACACACTACAAGAGCCCTCTTCTGATTAGAACGGAACTCACAGTTGCTGTCTGAGCTCAGTTGTGTCTTGTGGTGTTCCCAACTGATTCACAATTTTCTGTATTTCAGATGCTGGTAGAAACAGGGCACAAATATTGTGACACAAAACAATGACAGTATGTGTGTTCATTCAATAGGAAAATTATTCAATTCGAAAGTTCTATCAAAACAAAAATATGATGTACAGGTATATTAATACTTTTGAGTCAATCACCAGGCCTCATATGAGAGGTATAGTAGCCTACAGGCCTACTAAATTCAGAGGATATGACCAAACTTGTGTACTGATTTACATGTTGTGTGCACAGTTTGCCCATATGTATCAATTACTTTGTTGTGTTATCTTCTGGATGTTGGAGATTATCGTCTGAGTAAGCACATTTGGGTCCTGCACTTTTCCGTACTGGTAGGCCATGGTTGACGCATTGGGAGTCTCCCTAAGACTTTGAAATATAAAATGTTACAAGTATTGTTGTAGGTTAGTCACTCACACAGCTTCAGTTCACTCCACCTGCTTTATGTATTATGTACACTCGTTCCCCTAGACATACTGTAGTGCTGTCACCAAAGTGGTAAAAATCCTACTTGCTTGTATCAACTTGTTTTAAAATGAATAACCCTACATATTATATTCATGAATATTTAACATACTAATAATAGGCTGTCTGTAAGAGAAACAAATTAATGTACACGGTACAGTCTGCAAGAGGTTTTAGTTTAAATTCATCAGCCTTCCACTCAGATTAGATAGGCCTTCAAAAGAGGCAAGGCGCAGACTCAGTTCAAAGTCTAATTTTGATTAAGCCTATATTTGGTTGAGTTGTCAACTAACATGAATTTAAAGTGAACACAATAAAAAATGTTACCATGTCATTGGATTTAGTTTAAAAGTTTGGGTGAAAAGACGAAATGCCCTTACGTTGATAACTTTTTACAAATCCAATGTTTTCCACGTTGATTCAACATCATCACATAGACTTTTGGGTATAAATGATGTGGAAACGTTGATTCAAAACGTTTTTTCACAGTGGGAGGGCACCTATAGCACAAGCTAATATACTGACACATACATGTATTTCAATCATTTCATCCAAACTGCTTGCGCGCATCTATGTTTTACTCTTGATGCACTGCAAGTCCCGCCTCCTCATTGTTTTCTAGGAGTATACCCACGTGGGTGATCAACCTGATTAACAAGGCCAGAAAAATGCGGAAATGCAGAACCCTGAATAACCTCTCTTTTTGCGACTTATGTCATCATATACATTTCAACAAACGCAATAGACGTTAATTGTAAAGTAGCCATGTGAATTTATATAAAGTAAATACTGCCCCCATACAGAGGTAAAAATACATTGTTTCTTCAGTTGCACAACTGCTGGCAACTGTTTGTGAACGCAGACTATAACATTAGCGTTCCTTTAAGGTCGCATGGGTACAGCTTAATTGTCGCTTGTTGACATTGCCAAATCATTACATGCCCAAACATTACTTTTGGTAAAATTCGGGGTAGACTAAATACTTGTTTTCCATGTTTCGTTTACCTTAGTTCTGTCTTGACAGTCTGCCCCGCCTGCACTCTGCTTCCTTATTTGTGTGTCATGCGTTTCAGTCACATGATCTGCTCTGCTTTACAGGGAACCCGCAACCGTTAGGTTCAAAATCAGCTATTAACCCAAAGAAGATTGAGTAAAAAAAAGAAGAAAAAAGATACATTTTATGACCTTTTTTACACTTTATTCAACGGTACATTAAAATGTTAATAAAATAGTTTAAGGATTTATAAGTCAAACACTGTTAGACAGAAAAGACCAGGCAAACATTGACAGCAGTAGAATGAAAGTGTGCAGAATAAGTTTCTCAAATGCGTCTCATCGTTTGCCTGCTTGAACACACTATCAAAGGTGGGCAATGTCATATATATATATATATATATATATATATATATATATATATATATATATATATATATATATATATATATATATATAATATATATATATATATATATATATATATATATTATATATATATATATATTACCACTATACCACATACAGTACATTTTATTGACATTAATCCAATAAAAGCAATTATCTGGGAAGTAAATTCCCTGGACCAGCCATCTGCCCCCCCAAAAAGGGCCATCATGAAACATTGTAAATTGTTTGCAATAAATTAGGTACATACTGTTCACACATACTAGTGATGTAGCTTTACAATGTCCTAGTAGTAGTAAATACATTTTATATAGGAGGAGTTGTATTAAATATTTTCAATGTGACAATGAGATTAAGACATTTTTGGAACCAATGATAAAACAGCAGGGACACAACTTTCACTGGAGTCATGTCCCCCCCACATTCTGAAATTGCATTTTTGTAGTCCCCCCCAGTTTTATCATTGCAATGTGATACAAAAAGTGGCTCCTGTGTGCTTTAGGACCATGCGGATGCCTCAGAGCGGTTGGCTGGATTTAGGACCACGTGGACACCACAGAGCGGCTGGAGGCTAAAACGCAAGATCAGAGCCATTTTGATAGATGGAAGGCTGGCTGGATAGCACAGGAGAGTTGAAAATAGTTAAGTGTGTATGTGTTGCGCTCTTTCCACAAGTTGTAAAAGCAAGCAGAGTATGCTGATGTAACTGCTGTTTAACTTAACAGAAAACGAAACTAGTGTTTATTCGCAGTGCTGAGCTATTATTGTAACTGACATGTACAGTAACGTTAGCTAATGTTTCATCCCCTCTTGACTGAGGTGAATGAATTAGCTACGATAGCTAGTAGCTACCGCAGCCAGGTCAGCTCTATCCTCTAGCTAGCTACTGTATCTGCCAGGTGGCTATTATTACTATCTAATGGCTGTTGTTTGTATGGAAATGTTTTGTAGCTTTGTTTAGTCCCGTTTCAACAGAAGTAAATTAACTTTTACATTTGAGATTTGAGTAGACCCTCTTATCCAGAGCGACTTACAGTTAGTGAGTGCATACATTTTCATACTGGCCCCCCGTGGGAAACGAACCCACAACCCTGGCGTTGCAAGCGCCATGCTCTACCAACTATTTATTATTATTATTTTTATTTTTGGTCATTTAGCAGACGCTCTTATCCAGAGCGACTTACAGGAGCAATTAGGGTTAAGTGCCTTGCTCAAGGGCACATCGACAGATTTTTCACCTAGTCGGCTCGGGGATTAGAACCAGCGACCTTTCGGTTACTGGCACAACGCTCTTACCCACTAAGCTACCTGCCGCCCTACAACTGAGCTACAGTTGATGTACCGTTAGAGAGAGCTGGCCAAAAGTTGGCTAATGTTAGCTATTATTTTTACCTAAATCACACTCGACCTGAATCAAACGATGAAACCATCGGCCCCCAAAAAACGTTCAGCGCAATGTGAGTTTTTATTAGTCAGTATTGCATGTAATGTTATTGAGCTGTCAGTTTCCCTAGCTAATTCCCTACTTTTCACACTGACACAGTAATAAACAGCTCTAACGTTACAGGCTTCACTGTCATGGTGCACAGTAGAGGTCTGAGCGGGACCAATTTCGTCATACCGCCTGCACCTGCAGCTTTTCATACCGCACCCTGCCAGCACCCACTGGCTTTCTCCCACCCGCTACGGCTAGTACTGGTCCCAAACCCAACCGCAGCCCCGCAATGTTATTTTAGGCGTATGTGACGCACCTCACTTGCCAGCCATGATCCCAGCAATTTTGCGTCCTATTGGCAATGTCAAATGTGCAAAGATAAGGTTAAATTACCTGAGATTCTCACATGCATCTAACAGTATATTAGGCTATCTGTATTACTGGCTATATCAGCCAATATGCTAGATGTAGTTTGAAGAGAGCAGAGTTGGAGAGACTTGCACTTTCTCTTGAGCAATTTTTATAGCCTACCTTTTAGGAGTGGGAAGATTTTCAGATGGAGAAATATATCAATATTTATTTCTAGGCAATTTGTTCAACTATAGCCTAATCATAGGCCTATTTAGGAAGTACATTTCCTTGGAAAGATAACTGCCCCGTGCTTCTCCGCCCATTCATAGGCTATAGCCTACTCTATTTAATTGAGAGCACACGCGCACCTGATCTCGCAGGTATGGCTACTGACCTTGAAGCAGCAAGAATAATGACAGCGACACTTGCTACGTTTTGCATAGGCCTATAGGATATAGCCTACCTTTTAGGAGGACGCTTTGCAGGCAGAGACAAATAAATGGGTAATCAATACTTATTGAAAACGAAAAGGCGCAACGCTCGCTCACCATAGTAGCCTAACCTATGTGTGCGTTGTGCCTTTTCCTTTTCAATGGTTACATTTTTTGATTGCACTTCGACTCACGTTGGTTGAGCGCCCTCCACTTCTTTCCATTATCAATGTTTATTTACAGACACTGTAGTAAACTACAGTCTAATCATATTTAAGATAATTTCATATTTAAGTTAACTGTCACGTGATTCTCTGGGTGATTCTCCGCCCATTCAGTATCCTACTCTATTTCAATGAGACCACATATACTAGGCGCACTTGAACTCTCATGCCCAACTTGGAGAGGTAGGACACTGAAGTTGAAGCGTGTGAATAATGCGAAAAATGTATGTTTTTAATACAATAGGTAGGCTAACGCAGAAAGAGGACTGTTTCCAAATAATTTGTCTGACCGCCCGCAGAATGAAAAATGCGGACCGCGCCCAAATGATCTCTGTCAGGACCCGCAGGTACCGCAGGCATCCCGCGGGAATGCAGCCCTCTAGTGCACAGTCAGTATACAACACTAAACTCATAATCTTAGCAGGATCAGATGGTGACAGGGGTCCCACTTCCCAGGAGGGTCAGACAGCCAGGGAAGACCAGTCTACGGAGCTCATGTGAGCAGTATATTAATAATACAAAGTTCCATTTTGAATTGATGGGTAGACCTACAGTAGCTACAGGACAGCATTTTAAGCTTAAAGCTACAGTCTGGGATCTGGGAATAATGATAATTTCAATTATTAAACCATTGATTCTATTCTTGGATAATATAATGTATAAATATTCACCAAGGTAATTCTTTGTCATGCCTCATCTTAGGAGGATCAGATGGTGACAGGGGTCTCAGCAGGGTCAGGCAGCCAGGGAAGGCCAGTCTGTGACGGCGCTGAGGTGAGTTTTTGCAGATACAACACTTTTCTCTCTGTGCAGCAAACACTGGACAAGCCAGATGCTATTTTAAGGCAGTCTGACAAACCTCTAAAGTTGATTTCCAAACTGTATCAAGGCTTGATATAGGCTTTTCCCGATGACACAAAACATGTAAAACAAAAATATGAGAAAGATCTGGTATAAGCTATTGATGATGATGATGATGATGATGAATAGATACAGATATGTTTGAATGCCCAGTCATGTACATACAGTGGGGAGAACAAGTATTTGATACACTGCCGATTTTGCAGGTTTTCCTACTTACAAAGCATGTAGAGGTCTGTCATTTTTATCATAGGTACACTTCAACTGTGAGAGACGGAATCTAAAACAAAAATCCAGAAAATCACATTGTATGATTTTTAAGTAATTCATTTGCATTTTATTGCATGACATAAGTATTTGATCACCTACCAACCAGTAAGAATTCCGGCTCTCACAGACCTGTTCGTATTTCTTTAAGAAGCCTCCTGTTCTCCACTCATTACCTGTATTAACTGCACCTGTTTGAACTCGTTACCTGTATAAAAGACACCTGTCCACACACTCAATCAAACAGACTCCAACCTCTCCACAATGGCCAAGACCAGAGCGCTGTGTAAGGACATCAGGGTTAAAATTGTAGACCTGCACAAGGCTGGGATGGGCTACAGGACAATAGGCAAGCAGCTTGGTGAGAAGGCAACAACTGTTGGCGCAATTATTAGAAAATGGAAGAAGTTCAAGATGACGGTCAATCACCCTCGGTCTGGGGCTCCATGCAAGATCTCACCTCGTGGGGCATCAATGATCATGAGGAAGGTGGGGGATCAGCCCAGAACTACACGGCAGGACCTGGTCAATGACCTGAAGAGAGCTGGGACCACAGTCTCAAAGAAAACCATTAGTAACACACTACGCCGTCATGGATTAAAATCCTGCAGCGCACGCAAGGTCCCCCTGCTCAAGCCATGCCCCTACTTTTTTTTAAAGTTAACTGTGACAGATGCATATCTGTATTCCCAGTCATGTGAAATCTATAGATTAGGCCAAATGCATTTATTTAAATTGACTGATTTCCTTATATGAACTGCAACTCAGTAAAATCTTTAAACGCATGTTGCGTTTATAATTTAGTTTAGTTTACAATAACATTCTCAGTAACAGTTACAGAAATAATATTTTCTTGCTATGACTGATATGTTGTTGTCACGCCCTGACTCAGGGGACGTTTATTTGTTGAGTCAGGGTGTGTATATTCCGGGTTATGTTGTGTTTTTCTATGTTTAGTTCTAGATCGTTTAGATCTGTGTTGGCCAGGGTGGTTCCCAATCAGAGGCAGCTGTAGTTCGTTGTCTCTGATTGGGGACCATACTTAGGCAGCCTTTTGGCACCAGTCAGTTGTGGGATCTTGTTCTGTATAGGTTTGTTTGGTGTAACCTTAAGACTTCACGTATCGTTTGTTTGTTGTTTTGTCGTGTGTCTAATCGTTTAATAAAATGTATGCTTATCACGCTGCGCCTTGGTTCCACGAATCTTTAAACGATCGTGACAGAAGATCCCACCAACTAAGAACCAAGCAGCGTGTCCAGGAGTAGACAGCCTGGACCTGGGAGGAGATCCTGGACGGGAAGGGATCCTGGACTTGGGAGGAGATTCAGGCCGGAATGGATCGCCGTCCTTGAGAGGAGACTGTGGAGGCGCGCTATAGAGAGGAGCAGCGGCAACGCAGAGGGTGCCGGCCGAGGAGGAAGCCCGAGAGACAGCCCCAAGATAATTTTTTGGGGGGGCTAAAAGGGTGGTTGGCGGAGCCTAGGGTTAGAGCAGAGCCAACTCCCCGTACTCATGCTAGGAAGCGTGTGACTGGGCAGGCTCCGTGTTATGCGGAGCCACGTACTGTGCCGCGAGTGTTCGGAAGTTTCACCATAATTTGCAAATAAATTCATTAAAAATCCTACAATGTGATTTTCTGCATTTTTTTCTCTCATTTTGTCTGTCATAGTTGACGTGTACCTATGATGAAAATTACAGGCCTCTCTCATCTTTTTAAGTGGGAGAACTTGCACAATTGGTGGCTGATTAAATCCTTTTTTCCCCCCACTGTATATGGATACAATGAATTGATCCAGTCCTCTTACATTTGCTTTTGAATATAGTAGGCCATAGGAGTACAATGCAGCAACGGCCCAACTGGCAAAAACCATGAGCCATGCAATTGGTATAGTAATCTTGGTGGAATAGCGAAGTGGATTGCACAATATCATATCGATATCGATCTATGGCAATGAACACCATGTGAAAAATTTTAAACAGAAGTGAGATACATATCAAAACTAGAATGCAGCAAACGAAAAGCATCTCCAAAGTACCAGCAGCCCTTGACAGCTCTTATTGTACTAAAAGGCATCACAGTCACTCAAAGCATTAGGTCTACAAGTGCCAGAGACATAAGCATGTTAGTTGGCCTGTGTAGCTGAGCAATGGAGATAATAACCACACCATTCCCAAGAATGGTGACCAGCATACCAAAAACAAAAACAAAAAGATTTTAAAGCCATTTGAGCTCCTTCACTGAAGATTGCTCAGGTGCAGGAAGCATTATATTCTGGGTAACAGACCAGCATTGGATAACATTTTTGATGAGATATCCATTTCCAAAAACAAAACAAAAAGACATTCAAGTTAGAGCGGATCAGTTGCTACTGTAGTCACAGGTGCAGGTGTGAGAGTGGTGCTGAATCAAGCACAGTCTTCTTAGAAGGATGGTGTTTATATACTCTAGGGATATTTTGGTCACACCCCCTTACAGGCTGACAACCAGTTACGATAGGTTACATGATTTACATCTGTATGTTAAATTAATGTACAACGCTATGATAGATAGTAAGATGATGTCATGAGCCATGCTTTTTAAACACTTTTTGAGGCACTTTGCTTTTACCGCTATTTCCAACGTTATGCACTAGTGTTGGTGGAGGTAAAAGATTCTAGGAAATGTTATTTAATTGACAGAAGATGTCTCCAATCAATCAATCAATGTTTGGTTGTGCGTGTGTGTTTAGTAGGGGTAGGTGTAGCCAGGGGAGGTGTAGCTCTGCAAATTGCACAAAGCCTATTATTTTGCAGGGAATACTACAGTGAGCCCCAAAAGTATTGGGACAGTGACCCATTTATTGTTGTTTTGGCTCTGTACTCCAACACTTTGGATTTGGAATGATACAATGACTATGAGGTTAAAGTGCAGACTGTCAGCTTTAATTTAAGGGTATTTAATTTGAGAAAGTTACAGACGCACAAATATCATACCCCCAAGACTTGCTAACCTCTCATCATAACAATAAGAGCGAGGGGTGATAAGCATTCTTTGGGGGGTATGATATTTGTGCGTCTAACCTTCTCACTCATCATTATTCACGATTCATTCAGGATTGTCCGTAATCATGATAGCATCCATATTAATGTAGAAGTGTTTCGAAACATTCTATTCTAATTTACAATAAAAGTGACTCCAAAATGACACAATACATTATTGACCATTCATTTCTATATGGCACAAAATTATCTGAAACACAACCAAAAAAACATCAAATGCATCCAACAAGCTTGATGTAGTCATTGCGTGCTATGAATATCGGACCAAATACTTAACTTTGTACTACTTTAATATACATATAAGGTAATTTGTCCCAATACTTTTGGTCCCACATTTTACATTTTACATTTTAGTCATTTAGCAGACGCTCTTATCCAGAGCGACTTACAGGAGCAATTAGGGTTAAGTGCCTTGCTCAAGGGCACATTTACGTCATTTAGCAGACGCTCTTATCCAGAGCGACTCACAAATTGGTGCATTCACCCTATAGCCAGTGGGATAACCACTTTACAATTTTGGGGGGGGGGGGGGGGGGGGGGTAGAAGGATTACTTTATCCTATCCCAGGTATTCCTTAAAGAGGTGGGGTTTCAAATGTCTCCGGAAGGTGGTGAGTGACTCCGCTGTCCTGGCGTCGTGAGGGAGCTTGTTCCACCATTGGGGTGCCAGAACAGCGAACAGTTTTGACTGGGCTGAGCGGGAACTATGCTTCCGCAGAGGAAGGGGAGCCAGCAGGCCAGAGGTGGATGAACGCAATGCCCTCGTTTGGGTGTAGGGACTGATCAGAGCCCGAAGGTACAGAGGTGCCGTTCCCCTCACTGCTCCATAGGCAAGCACCATGGTCTTGTAACGGATGCGAGCTTCAACTGGAAGCCAGTGGAGTGTGCGGAGGAGGGGGGGTGACGTGAGAGAACTTGGGAAGGTTGAACACCAGACGGGCTACGGTCCCCTAAAATGGGGGGGGGGGGGGACTTATGTACAAATAGTGTTGTAATTTCTAAACGGTTCACCCGATATGGATGAATATACCCTTAACTTAAGATTCATTGTATCATTTCAAATCCAAGTTGTAGAGAACAGAGCCAAAACCACACAAAAATTGTCACACTCCCAATACTTTTGGAGCACACTGTATTTCTAGATCAGTGATTCTACACCTCACCTTGCTCAAGCTGATCCTTTCTAATGGACTCAGAAGTTGCAGCAAACAAAATTGTCAATTAGGCAGCATATCAGAACTTTTTCAGAGCTGATCTGCATTAGTGGAAGAAAATATCAGAATTGGGATGCCTGTCTAAACGCAGCCTTAGGGGCAGTGTCAATGAACCCAACCATGGAAGTAAATTGTAGCGAATTCGGGGGGTAAACCCGAACGGGACTCAAACCCAGGTGCAGCCAACACCTTAACCGTTACGCCAAGAGGACCGAACCTCTTGACGAGCTTGCTAGGTGTTGGCTTAAGGTCACGACACTACCCCCTTCCTTCGGGAGAGCGTGCCCCCTCACATGTACTCGCCTCTCAGATGGGCGCCATCCCACTTCTGACGTCAATGTAGTGAATTCGGGGGGTAGCCCCGACCGGGACTCAAACCCGGGATCCAGCAACTGTCAAGCCAAAAATGTAACTGTTACAGCAACCAAGAGTTTGGACCTCTTGGCCTAATGGGAAAGGTTTTGGCTTGACAGTCGCTGGACCCAGGTTCGAGTCGCGGTCGGGGTTACTCCTGAACTTGCTACAATACACTTCCATGGTTGGTTTCATCGACTCTCCCCTTTAACTGCCCCTAATTGACCCAATTTTAAATTTTTCCAAGCATTGGGGAGGATCAGCTTGAGCAAAGTGAGGTGTAGAATCACTGATCTACAAATAGTATTCCATGCCAAAGAATAGGTTTTGTGCAGAGCTATGCCTCCCCTGGCTTAGGGGATGCCCCATAGAGATAGTTAGAGGACACACCATTGTGTGTGTTCCATTATGGCGTCTGTGAGAGCATGGGAAGCGCCATTGAGGCTATCTCCATTTTGAAGTAGTCAATTTTCTTCTACTATTTCTATGAGTTGGTAAACAAACTAAAAGGGTGCATACTGCCACCTGTAATGTATTATTTGAACAGGTATGAAGCCATGGTTGGCGATTTACTGCCACCTGCAGTTATGAAATGTTTGCTCAAGGCTGATCCCTCCTGATGACCTGGATGGAATTCACCCTTCGCTAAGCCCCGTCCCCCTTGGTTACTATTGAAACCTCAGACATCAAATTCAGGAAAATGGGACTTGCACCAGCAAGTAGGCGGGACTTTCATAGGGTATTGCTTCATAGGAATCTGGTAAAATGATGTCTGAATTCACTGTCAGCATGCAGTCAAAGCTACTAACCATTTTTGGAGTTGTGCCCTCAAATCGTTTGCTGATGTCGACATCAGATGGGAGATGTATTAACAGTAGGGCTGTCCCCGACCAAAAACCAATTGGTAGTTACAGTCTTGTCCCATTGCTGCAACTCCCCTACGGACTCAGGAGAGGCGAAGGTCGAGAGCCATGCATCCTCTGAAACACGGACTGGTCAAAATATTTAAAGTGTATTTTTCCATATATAGACACCCTATGTGTTTAAATAAAATCAGCTAAATGCAATAAGGTGGTCTAATGGTTAAAACTTACGGTTTAATGAAATAAGACATGCCTCAAGAGGGCGCCAGAGATCTAGATAACCAGAAGAAAGAAAACGTAACCTGACCAACTATTCTCCTGCTGGCTTTCGCAGATTCTGCCATTCCTCTCCTGAAGTTGCCGGTAATAGGCTACACAAGGAGTCGGCAACCTTTCTCATGTGGTATGCCAATTTATCTTACCATTTCTACAGATCTGCTTGCCAGTTATGGTTTTCATATGCACATTTCCGTGAAACAGTTTCATTTAATTTATAATAACGTCTTCATATCTCAAAATCATTGTCATGTGGTTAATCAAAATTATATCCAAATCTAAATGAAAATGATACAAACCGAAAAAGTAACTTCTATCGCCATTGCCAACTGTGTAAAAATAGCCTACATAAAGCCAACAAATAAAAACATTGCAGCCTGCAGGTAGAAAATGTCCTGATGAAAATAAATATCCTATAAATCACATTGGGTACACATGGCCTTTCTGCAACAAACTTGAAACATCTTATGAACTATTACTTCGGTCTGGCCCGAAGAAGCTTGCACTAGCGAATTTGCAACATTGTATTAAATATTCTGGGCCCTCAGAGTTTCCTGTGCCAGTGAGCTCGGGACAGACACAGCTGTAGGCTATTTGCGCAAGGGATAAGAAGCAGTGCTTGACTTGGGCAGGACCGGCACCTCACATTTTCTACTGCTTGAGCTCCTGTTCCTCTTATAGAATATTAGTGTTGTGGAGCTCCTGCACCTAAATATAAACAGTACCAGCACCCAAAATGAGTACCGGAACCTATTTCAGTCCAAGTCAAGCACTGATAAGAAGTAATCAGGTAGGCCTATTTTATGACGTTTCCACTGGAACAGAGCATGACATTTTTCCCTTTCACGCTGAGTGGTTATCGAAAGGGAGAGAGCTGGAAAGATTTTTCAAATACATTGAAGAACTATTGTTATTCTCAATGGATGTAAAAACAGACTTTGTTTGCTTGCTGTTTGAGGAGAAGAAAACATTACTTTCAGAAGCTCCACAGTGGTGGTGCGCTAAGCCAATCAGAAATACTATCAGATTCCCAAATGGGCACATTTATATGCCTACATCTGCGCGCAGGCCAGGTAGCCTATAGGCCTACTTCTATGCGTGCGTGGCGCTCTAAACAAAAGACAATGACTAAATTGACAAAACTTGTAAATGGAATGAAATAAACCAAAACTTGTTTCTCATAAGTGTAGCATAGGTTGTGCGCTCTGTTACTTTGGTTACAGTAATTCCTGTTAATGCATTCAATATTATTATTCCATTCTTCCCAGTATCATTGTTTGCAAACAGTGTAGATTAGAAATGATAGGAATTAATTATAAATGTACTACTGTTGATATATGTAATGGGGAATTGATATACACTAACAATCAAAGGCAAACAATTTACACAATGAATATATTAAACAATTAATGTGCACAAATTGGCAGGAGAGAGAGCATTCTGGAA